GCTATAGTATTTAATCATAATCAGTGATTAAAAATAAATAACTTGTGTTAATTTATTTCTTTTTTTTTTTAGGTCTGGTTTAAAAACAGGCGGGCAAAGTGTCGCCAGCAGCAGCAACAGCAGCAGAACGGAGGACAGAACAAGGTCCGACCTCCCAAAAAGAAAAGTTCCCCCAGCAGAGAGGTGAGCTCTGAGAGCGGGGCCAGCGGCCAGTTTACGCCCCCCACCAGCACCACCACGGTCCCCGCCATCTCCACCAGCACCGCCCCGGTGTCCATATGGAGTCCGGCATCCATCTCGCCCCTCTCAGACCCCCTGTCTACCTCCTCCTCGTGCATGCAGAGGTCCTACCCCATGACCTACACCCAGGCATCGGGCTACAGCCAGGGCTACGCCGGATCCACGTCTTACTTCGGGGGCATGGACTGCGGCTCTTACCTCACCCCCATGCACCACCAGCTGTCGGGCCCGGGCTCGACACTCAGTCCGATGAGCACGAACGCGGTCACGAGCCATCTGAACCAGTCCCCGGCGTCCCTGTCCACCCAGGGCTACGGAGCGTCCGGCCTGGGCTTCAACTCCACGGCGGACTGCTTGGATTATAAGGACCAAGCTGCGTCCTGGAAGCTGAACTTCAATGCCGATTGCTTGGATTATAAGGATCAAACGTCCTCGTGGAAATTCCAGGTCCTGTGAACAGAACCAGCGCACAAATAAAAGAAAGAAAACATGAGACGCAGACCCCTTCCTCCCTTCAACAAAAAACTAAAACCGGACTTTGAGCGCACGGAGAGGCCAGGGCACCAGGGGGGTGGCCTCGAGTTTTCTGTCCTCCTAAAGGAGATGTTTAATTTATTTTAGCACTGGCAAATAGATTTTTTTTCCACCTTCTTTCAACCTCATCCACGTCGGTGCGTGTCTCCGTGCGTAAAAAAAAAAAGAAGAAGAATAAGAAACACCTGTTGCAGGACTGAGACAGCACAGCCACGGAAACTGTCCCTGCCTGGACACGAGGACACGCTGTGTGGGACACGGATGCACTACTTTATTTAAGGAACAAACTAACAAAAAAAAGTGTTTATAACGAATCAATATGTAGTTTCTAAAAAAAGACAATCAGTGTGAGACTTAAATAAATATGTGTTTTTTATTATTATTATTATTATTATTTTATTTGTGCTAGCCTTTAAAACTGTGATCTGTTGTGTTGTATACAGT